TGCCAGGCAGGCGTTTTTGCCGCTGAGCTAAATCCCCAGCCCCCAAAGCAGATGTCTTTGGTTTTGGTTTTTCTCTGGTACCAGGAATCGAACTCACGACCTTGAGCTTGCCAGGCAGGTGCTTTGCCGCTGAGCTAAATCCCCAGCCCCAAAACTTTACTTTTTAAATATAAACTGATATATAAAACATAAATATTTCATTAACTTATTTTTCTTTTAAAATGATTTTGCTTAATTCTTCTGTTTTTCTTCCTGTGCCAGCTTGCTCTGGTTTAAATGTTCATGGCATAAGAAGACTTGTCAGCCCTGGTTCTATATTACCTCTCTGCTCTTGGACCCAACACTAGCCCTGGATTTCAATTCTAAAGTCTCAGGAGATTTTCTGATTGGACCAGTTTGGGTCAGGTCCAATAAATTGTGGTCAAGGAATTTGCTGGCACATAGAATTAACAAGGTCTGGTGTAAACTTTTAGCAAGGGTGTGGATCAAAAGAGTTTAGAAAAAAATAATACACAGACTATATATCATCCCAAGTTACATTTATTCAGCAGAAACATTTTATATTTGACGGGGAAAAAACTTTGGGATAAAATTGGAACCCACACTTTCAAAGAGGTTGGCTCTTTGAATGGTGCCCATAAGGATTAACTTTGATTTTTTAAGTTGCTGGGAGTCATAGGATAAATGTGGCACACCTTCTTGAAGTGTCCCTTTTACCAACAGTTTTGGGAGAAAATTTTATATTAAAATAAACATGAATGTATGATGGGATAGACTGCAAAACAGCCCAGAGTTGTTTTCTTGGAATGTAACTTGAATTTCATGGTGATAGGTGGATCCCTTGTGGAAAAGATCCTGCAGGTCCCTCATTAAGGACCCCAGAAAACTCAATGACTGGTGTCAAGGGTCCTGTCTAGAATCAGTCTTTATCCTTGTTAGCATTGAAGCAACATGATAACCTCTGGCATGCACAACCCATGTGAGTATTTGCATTTGGTCACGAGCCAGATGCTCCCAAACCTTCTAGATTCACAGGCACAGAGCAAGGATAGCAGTCATGGGCTGGTCTCAGGCACACCGAGGACACGCTGGTTAAGTCAGCCTCCTGGACTTTGTTTCTCATGCACTTACTTTGCTAAGATAGAGGGGAAGGAAGCGGGGATGCAGAGGTGAGGCTACATGGAAGCGGCAAAGCTACTCCCGCTGTTGGAAGAAGAAAGGAGGGGAAGTAGAAAGCTACCGAGATTATGCTAAGAAGCCATGCTTAGGATGAGACAACCTGCTGTCTTGCAGCCTGATCAGTCAGCTCAGGCAAAATGGCCTGGGAGTCACCAAGGCGAATAAACACGGACACTGCGCGGGTTCAGGGCCGTGTCCCCTGACCCTGCTCTCTACCTTTTGGCCCTCTTCTGGGTCACGTTTGTAGCTGAGCAGTCACTACATTGACAACAAAAGACCACGAATAACGGAAAAAGGAAATGAGAGTTTCTTCTTAGCTTCAATTTTCTTGGGGGAAAATAATGTGGATTACTGCCTGTACGAGAAGGCCCACACTGCTTGCGGTCCAGTTATGACATGCGCAAGGACGTAGTTGCTTTGGGTCTCTTCCTCTCCTACTCGGAAGGCGTCACTGCTGAAAGGGATCTGAGACACAGGCTTGGTGTGAGCGTCAAACCTCCGGGTGTTGAGAAGGATGCATTCTGGAATCCGGAGCCTCGTGGGCTGCCGGCCTGAAGACCCCCGCTCTGCTTTGCAGCTGGTTGCTAATGTCCTACCCTCCCTGCCGGGTAGCTTGGTCCTTTGAGCCCTGTTAAAGGGTGTGCATCCCTGGGAAGGACGTTCATTTTTCTTCATCCCAGTGCAGGTGTGCAGACAGAAAGGAGACAGGTGATTTGCTCCCAGCTACAGCTCTGCCGCCGGATTTCTGTGGTCCTGGCGGTAGCCCCTTTTTGAAGTTCACTGCCTTCATCTGCACAAGAAGGGGCCAAATCAGAATACCTCTGCTGTCCCTCCCAGGTTCCATGCTCTGTGACGCTCAAAGGAAAAGACTATGCGGGCAGACACACCTGTGGAAAGGGTGAGCAGGTTTCTGCTCAGGGCAAAGGGCCGGGAATGGGCAGGCAGACACCCAAAGTCAAACTTTTCTTACCTCATATTTCTGTCAAGGGAAAGCCCGGTGGCTGTATACTGAGATGACCACAGCAGCAATAAAGATTACTGTTCATGCCTGTCATATGCTCCTCATGTCTTGTCATCCTTCACCGGCAGGACTCTGGGTGCAGCAGAACGGCTGAGGTGTAGGATCCTGACGCACACCCTGCATTCATACCTGGGTTCTATTTTTTTTGTTGTTTTGGTACCGGGAATCGAACGCATGACCTCAGGCTTGCCAGGCCAGCGCTTATGCTGCTGAGCTACATCCCTGGCCCAGTACCTGGGTTCTAAATCCTTTAGATGTCCTTAAAAGTCCACAGTGCCAGTCTCCCCCTCTAGGTAGAGGCAAGCCACGTGTGTTTGGGACTGTCCAGCCTGTTGGCCTCAATGACTTACAAAGAAGAGAAGGTGACACCAGACCTGTCTCTGGGGTACATTGAGTCAAGTACAGTTGTTTCAAAGGGGTGGAGCAGTGAGTGGAAATGCCATGTACAGTCGTAGGCAAAGGGAAGTGCACGTCCGGGTCTGGGGAGGAGACTGCACTTAGGAGTCACTTGTCAGGAAGGGGTTGGGGATGCCCAAGACCTCCAACACTTTTTTGAACTTAATGATGTGTACTTCTTATTTCTGATGATCCACAGCATAAATTAGAAGATGTCATAAAGAAGTACAAAAAATTTTTGAAAGATTTATGTGCTTTCAAAATCCTCAACATGGCTCCTTGTCAAGCGGCTCGGGAGACAGTTGGGGCTGATTAAGATTCCCATTCCGCTGAGAGCAGCTTCTGGTTTTTGAGCAGAGGAAGACTGTGTTCCTCGTCTGTTTCTCCATTTCTAAAACAAGCGGTAATGCTTGGATTTAGGAAGAGTCCCCCACAGAGCGTTCAGAGGCGGGCGCGGCGGAAGGAAGCTGGCCCCTGGGCTGCGCCTGTGGGGGACCTTGTCCCGCCCCTTCTCCCTCAGGCTGTACCCCTGCTCTCTGGCCCCGGCTGCCGTGAGAAGAGTGGCGTGGCGCCACCAGGCACCCCCGCTTCTCCTCACCTCAGCCCCAGCGGTGGAGCCAGCTGACCGGGCCCTGAGAGCCTGGAGCTGAGCCGAAAGGGAGATAGCTTCCTCTAGGCCGTTTCTGTCAGGTATCGGTGACAGTGACAAAAGCTGACTACCCGTCCAGCCTCAGCTCCATTTACATGGAAACAGTTCCGGGTCAGGGGAGGCGCGGGGTACGTTCTCAGTGTCTGGGTATTAGGGACACTGAAGAAAGGATGGAGCAGGTACCTGGCGCAGTGCCCCTCACCTAGGGAAGGCTAGTGCCTGGCACCCTCCCCCCCATCCCTTTGCCAGCTCAGGTCTCTTCCAAAGGGGCTGCGGCTCTTGCTGGAGGCCTGCGCGGACTTAGAGACACGAGGACGTAATTAACTGCTCGTTTCTGCCTCGACCTGCTGACCCCGCTCTGCAGAAACCACTGCAAAGATACAATCACCTACTGTTTCCTGGTTCCTCGGTGCCTCCAGCGCCTGCGCCTCTTAGCAATCATGGCGTTTGTGTTTATCACTAATATCCCAGTGCAGGCGTCTCTCTGCTCCCCTCGGGTTCCTGCCTTGGCCCATCTGTGCTCAGGTCATCAACTCTCTCAGGAAAATTCAGACGCTGGTGAATTAGATGAAGCCCTTAGCACCGAGGGCCAGAGCATCACCTGCTTCTGATCCTGGGGCAGGATGGTTTTGTGCCCCAGAGACCCCGTCCAGTCAGTGCTGCCTTCCAAATCTCCCTCCTCACGTCACCATCGAGGGCCTCAGCAATTGTTTTCACTCAGCAGTTTAATCTGCTGCTCCTTTGACCTGCAGGCCCAGCCCGAGCAGCTCACTGGCTCTTGTGCTGTCATTAACATGTTTCTAACTCAAAACAGCTGCTCCTGCTCAGCCTCTCCCCCTCTTCCCCATGTTTGCTCCTTAGAAGACAGATCTCGCTTATCCAGAAACTTGCGGGGGAAGGGGGGGATTTATTTTTTGAGAAAATGAGAATTTTTGAAAGATAAAAGATTTTCCTTTTTCAATACAGACAACTCTTTAATCTTAACCATTTTGATAAACATCTTTCCAAAACCCATTATTCGTGCTCTCCCAAACGGGGAAATAGAACGTACTTATCTTTTTTTCTTGATGTCTCAGGATCATTGCAGTGAACAAAAGTTTTCTTGTTTACCACAAAACAGTAGGGCCCTGTTGGTCCTTTGGGAACATAAAGAATCCTAGATTTCTGTGATTTTGGAAGTTATTTTGTAAACTTTTAAATAGCGCTCAGCCTCTCTGCCCTTTGCCGCCGTCACCTGTCACCTGGGTGTTATGTACGTCTTTGGGATTCTTCCGCCATGCTTTTCTCATTGTCAGTGTCTACAGTGTGCAAAGAAGACCAGTACACACACACACACACACACACACACACACACACACAGATGTTGCCGGGATGTGTGTGTCAGAACTACAGGGAAGGACTGAGCCTTTCCTTGTGAGTAAATGGAATACAGTGTGGTTCTCTATTTAGGTTTTACAGGAGCCATTTTTGTTAGGGCTTAAAAAAATCGTTTGTTTGGTTTGGTTTGGTTTTTCTCATGTTAGAAATGCAAAGCTGCAAGGCACATGAGTCTAATATGGGTGAAAAGTTACCCTGAAATTTTCAGGGGCCATCACTTTCTAGGAAATTCTTCCTCCGAGTCATGCTTTATGTCCCTTAGTGTAGGCAGTGGTCCCCACGGGGGACTCCTCTTACGGAAGGCCTTCGTTTCATTAGCCCCACTTCACGGTCTTAAAATGTTATCCCTGACTGTTGTCATTTGTTTCAAACCCGCAGGTGTGAAAACAAACAGCAGCCCCAGAGCTAACTCCCTCAGCTTCCTCCCGCACCGTCCTCCTGGGCAGAGCCCTGCGGAAAGCCGCGCAAGCGAGCAAGGCCGTTGGACAGCGCGTGACCCACACCAGCCCCGCCGCACACTGCCCCGAACCGAAGTCCTTTCCACCGGGACGGAGGTATATGCTCTTTCGCATTGCTGACTTTGACCCTGAAGCTTAGCAGAGAACACTTGTGCGACATTTTCTGGATCAGTTCATCACCTGCTCAGAGCAGACATGCATTTCTCTCATCGTTGAAGGGAAACCAGACCCATCTGTGTACTCCTGCATGCTGCTTTGTTGCTCTCTGGGCCTTGCTGTTGCAGACCCGGAAATATTAGTAAAGGGTGTGAGTGCGGCGCGCTCCGACCGCACATCCAGCCCCAGTGAGAGCAGCGCTAGGAGGTGGGAGTCAGGGGTGGGAAAGGTTCTCTTTTTGCAAAACAAAGTCAGGCTGCCGGCTCTGCCTCAGGATCACCCGGAGCGCTTGTTTAGAACTCGGTTTGACTACACTTAGAGGAGGAGGGGCCTTCGTAATGTGCATTTCTTTCTTTTTCTTTTTGGTACTGGGAATCGAACTCAGGACCTTGCGCTTGCCAGGCAGGCGCTTGTGCCGCTGAGCCGTCTCCCCGGCCCTGTAATGTACATCTTTAACGAACTAGATGATACCCCGGTTTTTTGTTCACACAGCCGGATTTTACACCTCTGACTCCTGTCAGTACTCGGAATGGCGGAGCTGAAGGACTGACTCACTCGCGCTGGCCCTCCCGGGCTGTGTGGGCCGCCGCCCGCTCGCGCGGCAGCATTTGAACTCACCGCGTCGGCCTGTGCGAGCGCTCCGCGGCAGGCAGGGAGCCGGGGGAGCTGCGTTCGCTTACGGAGCCGCGTCGGGAGGCAGGGCTGGCGCGGGCCTGCTGGCCGTACTTCACTGCGCACCGGCCGCTCCAGGCCCGAGACACAAGAGGAGGCTTTCCTGAAGGGCCTTTTAGAGACAGGCGCGAGCTGAAACCCGGCCCCGAGCGCTCCGCACGCTTTGAGCGCGCTGCGCATCTGCCCCCGGCAGAGGAAGGCCCGGGTGGAGCCCTGGGCAGGCCGCAGAAATGGGAATCTTCAAAACAAGGACAGTCTCCTCCCTTTCTGTCCATCCCCTTCAATTTTCTGATCCTTTCCCTCCACTCCCTCTTTCTTGTAAAGACTCAAACTCTGAAATAATTATATGAAATTAAGTCGGTAAACGCCAGCCTCGCTTCCTCGAGATTGATGTGTTCACGTTTCGGGCAGTTTTCTCAGGACTCGGAGGGACTATTATTTCTGAGCTTGGCTGGGAATCTCCCTCCTCCCCGGGCAGAGAAGAGCCTCCTCCTCCGAAACCGCAGTTGCTCTCTTCCGTGACACCTCCCCCGAGACACGGCCTGTGCCCAGGAGAGGTTCACGCAGTGCGTTTCTGTTTGTTTGTTTGCTTTCCTGAGTGCTCAAGGATTTTCTTCTGGCCACACCTACCCGCAGCTGCAAAAGAGGAGAAACTCTCTGTGCCAGGCTGAGTGGGGAAAGCACGTGTCCCTTGGCCACAGGGAGGGACGGTTTGCCAGTCCGGCTCGTGGGGAAGCGGGTGAGGGAGACTCTTTCCAGCCCCACCTGTCTGCTCCTATCTGTGTATCGGGATGAGCAGGCGGTGGATTGTGAGCGAAAAGGCATCTTCATGCAAATTATATTGCCCTGAAAAATAATAACTCACAACGGTGTGACCTTGCTCTCACTTTCCACTACGTGCATAAGATAAATGCGAGATAACTAGGATTCTCTGCCCTGGAGAATGGCTTGGGCGCCCTGTCCTGCAGCTGGGCTGAATTCCCCACGTTGCCTTGGAGCCTGCAGGGAGACTAGCAGCGTCCGGTTCAGGAGGTGCCTGCCTGCCTGCCCTGACACATCTCTGCTAATTATGACGGCTTTGTAACCCTGGGCCCTTCTGCCCCCGGGGCTCGTAAAAGGTGCCCGCAACCTCAGCCTTCCTGTGCCTCCCTGCCCCTAGGTAGAAATCCTCCCCTTGCAGGAAGTGCAGAGCAGAGTTCAAAGCTTTCTTGGTCAAAAGAAGGTACGCCTGATCCAGTATAACATGATTAGGTACCAATTAGACCGAAAAATGCCGGGTCCCCTGCCTCTCTGGCCAGCGCTGGCCCCTGGCCACCCCTGCCTTTTTGGAAGATATTTACCCTTTCCTCGGTCAGCAGGAAAACGCAAACTCAAACTGAGCACGTCTAGGGTCAACGCCACAGGCCTCGGGCTGTGTGCGGATAAGGGGCTCTAAAGAGTCTGAGATGTGAGGTCCCCACCGAGCGTAGCTCAGGGACAGAGCTCAAGGGAGAGAGGACACAGGGGAAGCCCGCGTCCACGGACCCCAGCGCAGGCCCCAGTGCTCTGGTGATTCGCTGTGTGACTGCCAGGCCTGTTTCCTTGCTATAAAACAAGCCCAGTTCAACCTATGGTAGAAGGAGGTTAAAGGGGACCGTAAATCTTTCTGGGCATTGAAGATGCGTGGCAAACCCAGCCTGATGTCTTTTACATCTGTTTCGGGCTCGCAGCCTCAGCTGGCTCCGCTGCCTTCTCTGCCGCGGTCCCTCCAGGCACCCCCGGCCGGCTGAGTGGCAGGTATAGAGTGTCCCCTCCGAGCGCTGGGGATGAGCGGGTGCGCGGCGGGGCAGCAGGCAGGCCCCGCGGGCTGGCCCGCTGACACTGTAAGTCTACACCCAGGCTGCCGGAGGGGAGGCTGCCGGATTGACGGTGTGAATGGCCAGCACACACGGCCTGCAGAGGCTGGCGGGGGTGGGAGAGCGCCGGCTGAGGTGGGTCACACGGAGATTGAATTTCAGCTGAATTAGATCAGAGCTGTGGGAAACCTCTCCTCCCTCACACACACAGCTCTCAGAGGAAGCCGTGGGAGGGCGGCTGGGGAGACAGAGGCAGGCAGCTGCGATGAAGTACCGAAGCAGCTCACGGCCGCTAACAGCTAACTTAATTACTGTCTGCCTCTCCCCAGCGTGCCGGCCAGACTCCCTGGACTCTGGGGTTTTAGACGGAAAGGCTCCGGGGTGGCAGGGATGGATGGGGCGGTCAGCACTCCTAGCGCATGCCCGGGTTGGGAGTGAGTCTGTGTGTGTCTTGAATGGAGGGAAAGCATGAGTGTGGAGGCATGGGGCAGGCGCGAGCTTTCAGTCACAGCTGCTGAAGGCAAACTCCAGAGGGGATTTGGATGGCTTTTCCTGGTCCCTCCAGGTTTGATGTTTTATAGCATTTCATTAACATGCAACGCGAGCTCTCAATACCATAACTGTTTGCGGCTGCTGCTGCTGCTGTGAATGGCCCCTCTAATCCTCTTTCTCTGCCTAATAACCTGCCACCATTCCAGTGACCCAGAATACTGGCTTTTCTTGGGGCGGCACTGGAGGAATGGAAAATTGGGGGAAAGTTTTAGAATTAAAACAGGAACACTTGCAGTCCTATTAAAAAGGGCAAGAAGTCAGCTGTTTGAAATCCACCCCCTCAGCGGGGGTGGGGAGAGCATTTCCAGGAGGCAGTGGGAACACATTTGTTTCCTAAGCTGGCACCAGAGCGACTTTCTCCAGGACAGCCAGGGCCTGGTATTCTGGGCACACCATTTGAATTGGGAGCCTTCACGTGATTCTTTCTTCTTTTCCTGTCACTCAGCAGAGGCTGGCAGCAAAAATTCCTCCAGCAGCTCCCCCTGAACCATGCAGAGAACAACTCCCTCCCTGGCCGCCCAGGCTCCTTAGTCTTCTGGTGTGTGCGTCACCTTGGAGCCTGCCGCTGCCAGTGAGAAAAAGACCCCAGAGGAGATCCCTCACTTATCGTGACGCAGTGTGCTTTCTACAGAACGCACTTTTCCGTGGACTGAGGTGCGTCTGGAGCTTTGCACCACGTCTGGCCCTGAGGAAACGGGCCAGGGTGTCCCAAGGAAGACGAAGGGTCACCCCTCTTGGAAGAGGAGCCGCGCACAGGGCGGAGGCAGTCTGCCGTGTGGGATTGACTCGGTGCTTGGGTTCCGAGGCGCTCACCGCGTTGTCGGGTCGCGGTGACGCCAGAGACAGCAGCTTGACAAGAATTCAGGTGTGGTTTGGGATCCCGCTACATGAGGCAGAGACACCCGAAGTGTGCTGGAAGGCTGAAGGGCGTCTGTGATTCATCTGAAATGGAATTACAGTTTTACATGTAGAAAATGTATGTCTTTCCTTCCGCCCCAGAAAGAGATTTTCCAGAGCCCAAGACTCCCCCAGATTTAAGAACCACTGCTTTATGCTAACGATTTTCCAAAGCTAATTTTAGGGGCCTTTGGCTTCCTCAGTCGCAGTCTCCGCAAAGTAAACTGCACTGTCTGCTGCGCTCCGTGCCACAAGAGTCTGGCTGTTGACTCAGGCAAAGCGATGAAAACAATAACCGGGAGAGCGCAGACAAAAGCAGGCAGGGCAGACCCACAGCGTGGCCCTTTGACGTGGTGGCGCTGGGCTGGGGTGGGGTGATGTTTCTTCCCGGCGTGGCTCCCCTCGGCTGCTCTGGTCCCAGAATCTGTAGTTCTGAGGCTGTGCTCCCAGAGGGCGTTGTTAACGAGGAGAGAAGACGTAGTGGGAACCTTAAGGAGCCGATCTGGCTCGGCCCTGGTGAAGCCATTGAGTGAGGAAGCGAGGTTGGTCTGACAGTGCAGGATTCGGGCCATGGCGTGGGAAGGGCGTGCTGGCTTGCATTGCTGTGGCTTTTCTGCCAGCTCAGGGGAGGTTCTTGCTGGAGAGGTGCTGGTCATGATGCATCTTGAAAAAATAACAAACATCCCAGAATCTCACAGTTCTCCTTTCTGGAGTCGATGTTTGGTTGCAAAATTACACATGTTTTTCACCTCGAGAAAGTCTAACTTGGACAAGTATGCTGGCTTCCCAAAGCCGAGAAGTCGGGAAGAGGAATTGCATTGAAGAGTGGGTGCTGTTGGTGTGGCACTCACATGATCAGAGCTTTACATACTTCATCTCGAGCACTCTTAAGATAACTGGTTGAGATGGGTACTAATTGCTCCCATTTTTCAGATGAGGAATTTCAGGCTTAGAGGTTAAGCTCCATTGTTGAGATTTCTTCTCTATCTAGCGCAGAGATCCAGCACTGAAAGCCAAATGAGTCTGTCTCTAAAGACCATGCTCATGTTTCTCCACTGGACAGATTTTCAGTGGATATGTCAAAACCCAAATGAATATTAAACCTGATTGGTTTTCAAAGGTAGGAAAGCGAGGAATGTATTTTTGCTGAGTAACTACTAATCCGGATATTATGCAAGGGGACACAAATATGTCATCTTGTTAAAATATTGTTTCATAACAATTCAACTTTTGTGGCATATGCTCAAAATATATTAATCATTTAGGTACACACATGCAAATTACCTTCAACTACCAAGTCACAAACTATTCAGAACTTTCCCAGGACGGAGAACAGATTTTGCTCACCATTGTACCCTCTTTCATCAGTGACATGCCTGTGCTAGGCCAATAAATCATTACTGGATGTATAAGCAGGTAAAGAATGAGCCTCTGGTGAGGACATGATCAGAAAGCTACGTTCCTTAACACGGCACACATCGCCAGACATAAAGATCCAGGTGTAGCTCTGCACACACCGGTGAGTTCGTGAGTACAAGATGAACACAGGAGGAAGAGAAACTAAGAAGAGGATAGGGAGATGTCATTTTTTTGAAAATGGAAAAGCTATACTTAGTGTTACTAATGTTTAATTGTTTCGTTCACAAAGGGGAAATTAAGAGCGCTCAGCAGTCTGAAGCTTCTATACTAATGAATGTAATACGTACCCGTACCCTCTTTAGAGACTAGGAGGGATGTGAGGGCTTGGTAACTTTTTTCCCCATGTGACACTCCCATTCTCAAGATATGCAACAAAATCTCTCCCCCTTTTCTTTCTCAGTGCGTATTTGGTAAATGTGGATGTGCCTGGGGTCGTAGTATTAGGAAGCTGACATTTGTTTATTTCCTGTTTGTTGTTGTTATTGTTAATACCAATAATGTAGTGAATCAAAATGTAATGCTTTTGGTGAGCCAGAGATTAAAAGAATGTATGTTTTGAGGATAGCGATTGTGGACTTCTACTGCAGTTCACAGAATGGTGTTCCTGTTCGGAAGTAACCTGAAGCAAATGCTACCCTGTGAATTTTCCAGACTGGAAAATCCTGTTAAGAGCATGGATAGCCATCCCTCGAGAGGCATGCAGGCACCCACGTGCTTAAAGACAAAGGGTCGGTGCAGATTCCCCTCAAGGCTGCCTGCAGGTGTCCGCTCCACAGGCCATAGATGGTGAAGTCACATGAAAAGCTACCTGCTCTCTGATTTTTTGCTGTCTCTGCCTACCATGGTTTTCAGGCCACTAGCGCAGTGCTACAGAGTCAGGAGGAGCTGATCCGTCATTAGGCCCGGAGCTCCTCACTGACTGCTCTCACTGCCTGCTCCACAAGTTACAGTTAAGGATCCCAATTAGAAGGTTCCGAGGACCCTCCCCCACCTTCATCATTAATTCCTTCGTCACTTAACAGACGTGGAAGTGGCTTGACCTATGGCAACGCGGAAGCCCCAGCTGGTGGGATGGAACAAAAAAGTGAGCTTTGGAGTGGACTACTCACTAGAGCAGGTGAGAGGGAAGGAGAGCGAGGAACCCCAGCCCTTGGCCTCAGGGGAGAGGAGGGTCCTACAGGAAGTGGCCTCTGGGTGAGGCTGAAGGAGAAGAGAAGTGGAAAGACCAAGGGAACGCCGTGTGTAAAATCATGGGGCTGGGGCAGGAAGGCAGAGGGCAGGCAAGGAGAACTGTGACAGATACGGAGGGTGGAAGCCGTCCTGCCTGGCCCGCAGGCTTGTGTGGAGCCACGGCTGGGCAGGAGGTCAGACGTGAGTGTCAGCTGCTAGCATTGCTTGAGCACCTGTGCATTTTCCAGGCACCGTTTGAAGGGCTCTGTGTGTTTGACTTAGCTGATCGT